CTCTATATTCTGTTAGGTGTATGGGGAGGACAGGGTTACAGTTACAGTTAGGCTCCAGGATAACGTTAGGGAAGTGCGAGATGGAGGTTTAGGGTTATGGTGAGGAGCGGGTGATGATGAGAGTGAAAGTGAGGGGATGGAGGTATGGGTAGGGTTAGAGTTAGGGTTAGGTCTAAGATGAAGTTATGGTGTGGGTTAGAGCTAGAATTTGGGTTATATTTGGCTCTATATTCCTTCAATCAATAGCACCACTGTTCATCTCACCATCTATAACTAAAACATAAGAGCCTCCACCTTCACCTCCAAAGTATTCACTCATTGTTAACTATCTGGGATCTATCACCTTATCATCTTTCAACTAGACAATTACAATTTCCCTGTAAACTAGACTCTGTTCTCAACCCTGTGCAATCCATCTCTATGTTGATGTTAAGTGAGTAACTAAAGCATAAACTTAATCATGTCATGTACCTTGTTTAAAATCTTTGAGCTTTAGTCTAAAATTCTTGATGTACTCCAGGACTTCCTAGTCTGGTCCCTGCTTTTGTTTCTGGTCTTATATTCTGTCACTCGATAGTACTGCACCTGTAATTCAACTGGCCCAAACTACCTGTCATTCCTTGGATGCATGACCATCCCTTTCAAGACTTCATACTAAACTATTCATCACCCAAAATACCCTTTCCTTACTCAACTTCCATTCCAGCTCAGACTGACTTTCTTTATGAAAAGTCCCAAGCTGAATTCTACCCTCCTGTATTGCTATTATAATGAGTCTATACTGCAGTTATAAAGTTATTGTTTATCTCTCCTACTATTTATTTCCTTGAGGACAGCATAGCTTTGCACTTTGTAAATATTTGGTGAAGAAGCTTAAAAAATAGGACAACTTCATTTCTATATTCCATAAAAAACAGAAGTGAGAAAAAGTCATAAATTGCAACTGGTCCATCCAACAGGGACCTTTAGTTTGATGAACTGAGCAAGCACTAAGTTCTCAAAATATGCATGTTATCCTAATCAGCTGGACCTAAACAGCAGCAACAGCTTTCCAGGTCCCCCCCAAAAAAGACAACCATCATTACAGTTGATGTTATTACTTACAGACAACATTATTAATCCTGAATCCCTAACCTAGAGAACATATTATAAAGCCCAGATTTAAAGAGTTAAGGAAAGAAAGGTCAGACATTTCAGTATTGTCAAGATGTCAGTTCTTCTCAACTTGATCAATAGATTCAATGCACTCACAATCAAAATCCCAGCAAGCTATTTTATGGGTATCAACAAACTGAATCTAAAGTTTATATGGAGAGAATAAAGGCCCAGAATGGCCAACACAATATTGAAAAACAAAACTGGAGAATACTATCCAACTTTAAACTTATTATAAAGCTATGGTAATCAAGTTCAACACATTATTGGCAAAAGAACAGATAAGAAAAGATAATATATCAATAGAACAGAGTTGAGAGTCCAGAAATAAACTCACTTAGAGTCAACTGATCTTTGAGAAAGAAGTATAGGCAATACAATGGAGCTAAGACAATTTTTTAACAAATGGTACTGAAACTAGATATCCATATGAATGAATCTAGACACAGACCATACACATTTCACAAAAATTGATTCAAAAGGGATCATAGACCTAATGTAAACATAAAACTAGAAGACTCCTAGAAGGTAACTTAGGAGAAAACCTAAATTACTTTGGTTATGACAATGACTTGTTACATATAACACTAAAGGCAGGATTCATGAAAGAAACAATTGATAAGCTGGATTTCATTAAAATAAACAAACTTCCACTCTATGAAGAACAATGTCAAGAGAACAAGAAAACAAGCCACAGACTAGGAGAAAATATTTGCAAGAGACACATCTAATAAAGGGTTTTTATCCAAAATATATAAAGAACTCTTAAAACTCAACTATAAGAAACAACGTGTTTCAAATATAGGCCAAAGACCTAAACAGACACCTGACCAACAAGGAGATATAGACAGCAAATAAGCATATGAAAAGATGCTCCACATCATATGCCATCAGGGAAGTACAAATTAAAACGAGATTCTGCTACACACCTATTAGAATAGCCCAAATCCAGAACGTTAACAACATACAAATGCTGGCAAGGATGTAGAACAAAAAGTATCATCATTACTCGTGAAAACACAAATAGTACAGCCACTTTGAAAGACAGTTGGTAGGTTTCTTACGAAGCACCTGCTATGAAAAAGCTTCTACCACTAACCATAGCACAAATACGTATGACATGTATCACTGCCGAAATTACTCTTACTATATATTCAGCAATTGAGTTCCTTGATATTTACCCAAAGGAATTGAAAACTTATGTCCACACAAAAACCTACACATGGATGTTTGTAATAGCTTTACTCATAATTGCCCAAACTTGGAAGCAACCAAAATGTCCTTTAGTAGGTTAACTGATAAATAAAACTGTGACAGATTGAGACAATGGAATATTATTCAGCACTAAAGAGAAACAGTTATCAAGCCATGTAAAAGACATGGAAGAACTTTAAATGCATATTACTAAGTGAAAGAAACTAATCTGAAAAGGCTGCATACTGTATGATTCCAACTAAATAATTCTAGAAAAGCCAAAAATATTAAAGGGATAGTGGTTGTCATGGGTCAGGGGCAAGAGTAACAGAGATAAACAGGCAGAGCAGAGGAATTACTCTGTATGATGCTATAATGATGGACACATGGTATTATTCACTTGTTCAAATCCATAGAATGTGCAATACCAAGAAAAGAAACTATGGACTTTGGGTGATTATGATGTGTCAATGTGGGTTCATCAGTTGTAACAAAGGTACCACTCTAGTAGGGTATGTTGATAATGAGGGAGGCTATGCATGAGTGTGGGCAGGAGGTGTGTGTGGGGGCAGAGGTATATGGGAAATCTGTCTACCTTCTCAATTATGTTGTGGAGCTACTAAAAACTAGTCTTAATAAAAAACAAAAAGCAAAGGGACCTCTGAAACAGTTAACAAAAAAAAAAAATGGTCAGGAATTCGCTGGATTTAAGCCCTTCAGTCATGACTGGCTACATACAATGATCAGGAAAGCTCAGGACCTGGGTATTTTTCTGGACTACAGCTTTAGCTTTTCATCCATTCTCAGAGGACCCCATGATCTTAAAATTATTAAGAATAATTGATTTATATAGATGAAGTAGGCACCTCAAAAAGTATGTTAGTGGTTTCCAGGGAGAAAATTGAAAGCACTGAAAATACTATACATATATATTTTGCATGTGCTAGATTTAAAATGAACAAATACAGTTTAAAAATATTTATGTGCCATTATTTATCTTTCCTTTGATATCTACAACTAAGAAGATATTGAGTTACTTAAAATACCAAAATCTCAGAGGCAGGGCTTCCCTGAATTTAAGAGCCATAGAAGAAGGAAATGCAATGGCAGATTGAAGACCTACACCTTCTGAGAGCCAAGACCAAAAAAGCTAAAGTCTGACTGAAGCAAAAAGCCAAGTATTCAGTGGGTTATTATTGACCATCTACAATATGAGAATGAGTTACATTCATGAGAAATGGGAATAAAAGGGAAATGGGAGCAAGAAATAAAATTAATTTTTAATAGAAACCTTAAGCTCCTCACTTTGTTAGCCCACTAATACAATAGTTATAGACTATTAAAATGGTCTCTTATGCTATTTTGTAGACCTAATTGGAAACATACAAAATATAAGGGCGTCAACTGGTGAGGAGACTCAGTAATATTCAGCAAACAGTTGAATATTCATAATCTAGAACTCGACCTCATTAATTCCTGGCATGCAAAATGAAAAACTGTTGTAATATTACACGTTAAAAGAGTTCAGTCTTAAACCTCAGGAAAACAAAAATGATAGTGCTTAACTGCAACAAACCACATACAGGAACAACTCTGAGTGCAAGGACTGCACCTGTTCCTGCCATACTACATGAGACAAACAAGGGAAACCCACAACCACAACTGACCATGTGTGCGGCCCCATTCACCACAGAACTTCTAGTAAAGGCATGTTTCAGGAGAGAGATTACGATGATGGCATTAAATAATGTACCAAGGAAACTATGTGCATGACAATAGAAGAGAGAGGTTTTGTTTTTTCTTTCACATAAGATGTTGATAGTTGAATGTATAAGACACTCAAGAGGAAATGCTTTTAATTAAAGAAAAGTGAAAAGGAAAAAAATCCTGGCTTGTCCATGCAAATACCTGGACTACCAATTTCTGCTACAGAAAAGTCACAATCTCAGCATACTGGTACTAGAAAGACATTTAAAGGTTCTAGTATCAACTAGGCCTCCAATACTGTCTGACAATCTTCTTGTTTGATCTTAGTCAGTTCTATCTCTGAGCCTATATAGAACTATTTAAAAAAATAATCAAAAAATATTTTTTAGATTATTCTTCACTGTCTAAACATTTCACCACCACCACCACCTTCAGAATCCTCAGATTTAGATGAGGTCATGAGGGTGGGGCCCTCAAGATGGGATAAGTGTCCTTATAAGACACTCTTTCCATGTGAGGACACAGTAAGAAGGCAACCATCTAAAAGCCATGTAGACAGCTCTCACCAGAAAGGGACCATACCATGCAGGCAGCTTGATCTTGGACTTCCAGCCTCCCGAACTGTGGGAAACAAGCTTCTGTTGTTTAAGATACTTAATCTATGGTATTTTATTATGGTAGCTCAAGCTGAATAACATAGAATCATATTTAAGAGTTGGGGATTCCACATATAGGCCCCAATTCCAATTTGACTCAATAGTAGTATCTTTAAGTTAAATAACACTAATGCTGGTTTTGAGCTTGTTTATTAAGTGCTGTCTTTCAGAAAATATTTGTGGAAAATGACAAAGAATAAAAGAGAGGCATGAAATCATAAACAGGTAGAATGCAGGCCTCCTGGAATGCAGTATCAGTCTAGTAAAAATGGAATAAAAGATACTTACCACCACCAAGAATGTAAGAATCCTGGTGGTTCTCCCAATGTGATGTTTTTTTCCCATCTTATCTAAAATAAATAAAAGAGATATTAAGTACTTCCTAATAATACTTTTTTTATACATAGTAGAAAACAATATTTTCCCATATAAAATATTAAGGTAATATATAAGATTTTATTCATTAAAAATTTATTCCTACCTCAAGTTTTATAAGTACTCATTTTACCCAGTGATTTGTTGATTAGTAGTTTATAACAGAAGATGCCACCATTATTTTCCTGAATTTGCTTCTCACTGTACCAAAATTTCAGGAGGGATTTCAGGATCTTAAGGCATATCAAAGTCACCATTATTGACATCAATATAAAAATCAGTTATCACCATTAACCAAGCAATTTACAAGAATCTAGGCTTAATATGTACAGACTCTAAATTATGCCTTAAGGATTGAGTTTTTAATAAATACCTGATTTGAGGGGGTGGGAATAAGAAGGCACATGTCTTCCATAAAACAAGAGTAAAAAAGATTGTGATATTAACTTTCCAGTTATTTATATTTCAGGTAAGTTGGAGTTCACTATAATAAAAATTCAGAACACTGTAATAAAAGTTTAATTCTCTAAAAAATTAAGAGTTCTGACTAAATACTCTTTACAAAGTAAATTTAGAAATTGAAAAGTTGGGTGGATATTATAGCAATGCCTTTTCTAAGCACTGGATAGAAGTAAACACAAAAGAAAAATCTTATACTTTATTAGGGAAGATAGAACACAAACAACAGCAGAAAAGAAGATTGTATTTATAGTAGAAGTCAAAGGTGACTGATGCTATGAAGGAAAACAAAGCAACTAGAACTATAGATTTCAAAAAAAAAATTCAAGGAATCCTTTCTATCACCTACTATGCAAAAAGTTAGTAATTCTTAACCAGAAAGGTTTTTTTTTAAAAAAAAATAGGATCTCAGTGTGGGTAAAATTATAACATTTCCAGAGTATTTTGCCTGGCTTTAATGCATTTGCATATTCTCAGGGGTGGAGAGACGTTCATCTCCATGTCAATGAGTAATTACCTGGGCAACCGAGGGCATGTCTGAACCTGAGAGTTTNTTTAAAGGGAGGGGTTGGCTGGCTGGCTTGCTTGTTTGCTTCTTCAGGATCAGAGGAGAGAGACGGCCCTGTACTGCAGCTTGTAAGCAATAAACGGGTTTTAAACTTGATTTCTCCCTTTGACTGATTTCAGTTTTTAGAGATATCTTGCTCTGGGATTTCATCTCCCTGGACTTACATCTGGCAGCAACCAGCAGGGTGCCTCTGAACTCGAAATCTGTCATAATGGGCGCGACCTTTGGGAGGGCTGCTCCTGTGGATGGTGGGGAGGCCCGAGTGGATGCAGCAGCCCAGGGTGCCGCTTCACCTGTTATTATCCCCCCAGCTGTGGTGTTTCCAAGTTGGGAACCCCTAGTGGGGAATTTGTCTAGGGTAAAGCACTTTTTAGAGGGGTGGGGCCTTCCCCAGAATTGGGGAAGGGTGGAAACACCAGAAGCTGCAGAATTAGCCCTCTGAGAGTTGGAAGACTGCTTGGAGACTTTAGGGGGCCTTGTAGTGGCTGGCAATGTAGGGTTTCTTTTCATTGAGATAGTGGAAAATGTTATACAGGAGAAAGAGAGGATTATCAAGGGACTTAGGTGGGAGAGAGACACACTTCAGCATCACTTGGAGGAACTAGGCAATAACCTATGGGATGCTGTTATAGAAGAGAGACAGTTACTGAAAAGGCAGGTCACGCTCCTACAAGATTCCTTAGCAGTGGCGAGGGGGTAGACAGCAGGAAAAGCCACATTGCAGGAAGCTGTTGGGGAGGGGGGGAAAGAGTAGTGCCTTCAGCCCTGGAAATGGTGGAGGAGCCATTGGTGGAGAAGCTTGAGGGAGAAGAGGAAGAGGGGGGGCCATTGGCAGATCTGCTATCCTGGCCACCGCCGGAGGTACCATCTTCTCCTGTTTTAAAGGTCCACCCAGCTGAAATTAAGAAAATAAAAATAAAACAACCATGGGCTCTTCAGGGGTAGGAACAGCCCCCTTCCCAGGTTGTGGAGCACTCTATGCTCCGCCCCTATACCCAGGATGAGCTGGTGGACATGAACGTCCAGTATAGGCAGAGGCCATAGGAATCTCTACCTACATGGCTTTCACATTTCTGGGATATGGGGGTGGAAAACATTGTTGTGTTGGGTACTGAGATGAGTAGAATGGCTTCCCTGATGACTCACCTTTCCCTCCAGCAGCGGTTGTAAAATGCCCATCATGCCTCAGGGAATCAGACACTCCTAGTATGGCTGACAGCTGCCATCAGGATAGTTTGGACTAATCAGGGTGATTTACATATTTTCCCAGTACTTGGAAAATGTATGCAGAGCTCCAACAGGTACTGCGGGAATTGGGCATGAAAAACATCATCTATAATATGGACCCCCAGGGCCCTGATGAGGAGGTCACTATAGGAATGAGAAATCTGGTGCTGCATGCAGCTCCCACATCTCTCTTTGGGTCCCTCCCTAGTGAATACTCTTGCCCTCCACCTGGGTCAACTTATGAGCGAGGCTACTCGTACTTTAGAGATCTGGGGGAGGTTGAAACAATAAGGGTACAGAGGGAAGTACAGGCCATGACTGAAAGAAGAAGTGCAAAAGGCCTCATGAAGGTCTCGAGGACCCAGATGTGGGTTGATTTGATAAAGGCTGGGGCAGTGAAAGAAAAACTTGATGGGCAGCCCAATAGAATATTGTTAGAACTGTGGCACCAATTAAAGCCAGAAGAGTAGTTCCAGCCGCTGAGGTCCAGGACACGGAAACCAGAGTCAAGGCCTCATTGCCCAGCCTGTGTCCCTGCAAAACTTCATGGGAGACAGTACTCAGGATTTGCCAGGTCCCTCACCCCCACAGGAGGATGATTGGGCATTGCAGTTCGACTGAGGGGAGGGTCAAAGTCCCCACCTTGGGGGACATGGTGGAGACCAGAGGCCACATGTAGATTAGCAATTTATTGGTCCCCTGTGAATGTAAAATGTGTCCTGGCACAGGTCGACACAGGAGCTGAGTGTTGTTCTTTGATTCATGGCAACCCTGAGCATTTTCCTGGGACCCCGGCTGTGATAGATGGCTATGGGGGTAAGGCAATTAGAGTGAAGAAAGCCCAAATCTAATTGGGGATAGAGCATTTACCCCCAAAGGAGTATACCATGTACATTTCTCCCATCCCTGAATATATTTTGGGAGTAGATATCTTGCAGGGCCTGTGGTTACAGACCACTGCAGGTGATTTCAGACTGAGGGTACATGTGGTAAAGGCAGTTCTGAGGGGACATGCTAAGCACCCATCTGTAGCTCTGCTTGTACCTTGGTGGGTGACAAATATTAAGCAGTGTAAATTGCCTGGGGGGGCACAAGGAAATTGAAGAAATTCTATAGGAGTTGGAAAGGGTGGGCATCATTAAGCCCACTCATAGTCCTTTTAATCCCCCAATGTGGCCAGTGAGAAAGCCAGACAGCTCCTGGTATATGACTGTAGACTACAGGGAATTGAATAAAGTCACACCTCCCTTGCATGCTGCTGTCCCCTCTATAGCAGACATTCTGGACACCCTCAGCCATGAACTGGGAATGTATCATTATGTAGTAAACCTTGCTAATGCTTTCTTCTCTATTGACATAGCACAGAAAAGCCAGGAACAGTTTGCCTTCATGTGGGAAGGCCAGCAGTAGACATTCACCATCCTTCCACAGGGATATCTCCACAG